AAGCCGTATACGTTGCATGCATTAACAGTGTGAGAGGTTCATATAGGCTCTCTGACTTGCCTGATTGGGCCATTTTAATTGTTCATAGACCTTTTCTAGGGAAGCAAAGTAGATGAAAGACACAATATGAACAGAAGTAGGGGTCCTGTAATCTGGAGAGAGTTTGCCTGTGTTAGTACTTGTTAGGGACCTTTCAGGCACACAGCATTGTCTGTGGCCATGAAAATGAGCAGCCCTGTGAAATATGCATCCATGCGAATGCCCCTAATATCCCATCTGGGAGTCTGTGCTTAATGACACAAACGTACCATGCAAGCTCCTCTTCGAAAATGTCAGCACCTTTCTGTTCTCGAAAACATCATGTGGTGCCTGACTCCCTTGAGGGTAGGAGCCTCCAGCTATGTGGGGAAGGCTGCCTTTCCTCAGCATCTTCTCAGAGCCCCTTAATTTTTCTTCCTTTTCTTCATTTTCTCCCCATTTTAATGGGATGGTGAGCCAGAGGTTCCTGTTTTAAGCAGCAGAACATTGTATTTCATTAACTCTGTTACACACTTGGTTTAATTCCCAATTAGCCTGGGATGCTAGCAAAATAATCTGATTGCTTTGACTGTTTGGCGTTCTAGATCTGCCTAGCTTCCCTCCTGTCCCCCCACCCCCTGCAAAGCTTTTCCGTGTGGGTTGATAGGCAGACACTCAGGTTTTCACCCACCCCCTTTCCTCCTTGTTAATGTATTTTATACCATTTGCTCTGAGATAAAGGTTTGAGCTGCCAGAAGGAATAACTGGCAAATCAGTGTTCCTACCTCTGCAGCTCTCCGTGAGGTCGGATCTGGTCTCTCTGGCTGCAGAAGGGGTTTGTCTGTAGGTGGGTTTAAAGATGTTGGGTTCTTGTTAAATCCGTAATGTAGTTTTGAGTGGAGGGTTTATTATTTTTTTTAGTAAGAGCTTGTGAGATTTAGTTATCCTTATCCCAATGACACTTCTCTGAGAGTCTAAATTTGTTGGGAAATTCCAGCCAAAAAGCAGATTTATTGTCATTCGGCTCAACTGTGCTCTAACAGGATGTTGCTGTGACTGCATTTGAATAATGTTGAAATGTACCCAGGGTGAACTGATTTACATCAGCAAACCAGGGACCTATAATTATTATTATTAAATCTTCAATCTGCTCTGCATTTGTACTTCCTAGGTGGTGTTTTTTTTAGGCTGAGTCTCATTGGTTGGTAGCTGTTAGCTTAAAGACAGTATTTTTAAGTGCAAGTCAAGTGAGGCATTTTGCCATGGAGTTAACTTATTAAGCTTTTAAAAGCTTTTCTTGTTCATTAACTGTTTGGGCTCACATATCTTTGGCTGGTGGGTTGACCTTGGTTTTTTTCATTATTTTTGAGAACTAAAGACTATACTAGCTGTTAGTTGCTTGTCCTTTTAGTCTCCTTCTTCCAGTCTGTGAAGTAAGTTACACAACTCCTGGTTGGTTTCTCATCAGAATGAACTTGTTGCATGTTTTGAAAAGCAGGGAGTACTTTGTTTGCTAAAGAAGCTTATGGCTTTTTTCCTCAGCCAAGGTGTGGCATTGGCTGTGAAACTTGTCCAGTTCCATGGAGGACTTTGTCCTATACCACTTGTAAAGCTTTAGCTTTACTTTTAGTATGTCCCCCAGCAAGTACATCATCACTGCTATTTATTTTCGAGGGAAAAAACCCAACCTGTTGTGTAACTTATTATATCACTTTGTACCTTGTACTTGCTGTTCAGTGCGGTTGGACTTCATTATCTTGTGTTGCTCTGTTAAGGATGAAGCATCAACTGAGTTGAAGACTTAAGGTTCAGCCTTGATGTTGTAGATTTTCTTTGGCCAAAACATCTTTCTAAATATTTCTGATGACACTTATGTGACTGCCAAACTATATACTAGGTTACCAGGTGATGTAATACTTGAATTGGTGTTGACTGGTTCTTAATGGGCTTTTTTTCCATACCTAAGTGATAACTGTTAGTATCCCAACTGTGGACAATGCTTCAATCTTTGTTTACATGTTGCCTGAGCCATCACTTAGAGAGAGCTGTCAGCAAAGCGGGAGTCGTTGTGTACTGGAATGAAACCATGCAGTGCCAGCTTGTATTGCTCTATGTTCCTATCTCGTAATGAAGGCGATGGCAGTGCCAATGAAGAGAGGTGAGCATGCATACTTGAACCAGTGTTTATGTTGGACTGGTTCCTGAAATCTGTTTTCATTTCAACTGTGCTGCGGCTGTGTAAAAAGCCTTGAAGATGCTAATTATTTTTGTTGGCATACCATAACATATCAATATGTTCAGTGCGAATCGCCAGCAAGTACTTTTTTTTTTAATAAATGTTGCTTAAAGTTTGAAGATATTCCCCATCCCTTCCCTTATCCCCTTTTGCTTCATTTATCTCCTTGTCGCCAACTTGACAGCAGCACTGTTCTGCTGAGGTAGAAGGTGAGGACCAGCTTTAATTGTGGACTATAAGATTATAGATCCCAGCTCGTCTGGCAGATCTGAGCTGCCACCAGGTGTTTCACAGCCCCTTCTAGTCCTTTTTTTGTAACACCCAAGGAGACCACAGCCCATGCTCCTAAGTGCATCTTGCCATGTGACACACTGTCTCACGGATGCTTTTAATGGAAATCTGACATCTGGTGGGCTGTCATGTAGCGTCCCATCTTCAGCTTTGATTTAGACACTTGCATGTATGCTGCCATGTTAGTTTCTGAAAAGAGCCCCAAAAGATCCTAAAAGCAATACCTCATTCACAGTCAGGTCTCTGGGTTGGAGCTAGTGTGTACCAGGCAGCTCATGGTAACAGCATTTCTGTACATCCTTTGCCTGTGGCAAACTCAAAGTGATAGACTTTACTTACTCTGCAAGGAAGGAAACTTAAGCACAGCTGCTTTGACTTGTATTTGCCCCAGGGTTTAGGACATCCACATGGCCCAATTATTGCAACGCAAGTAGTGCCTGGCAGTGTGCATGCATTTGCCAGACCTCAGCCCTATTCCTTACTACAACTGACAGGTACCTTTCTGTGATGCTTTGGCTCTGTAACTTTTTTTTGTTACTTCAGAATTTTTTTTCCAAAGTTCTCATTTCATTTTATAAGTGCTTTTTCATAATGATTTTGAACTTTCCAATTGCTCTTATGATTTGTCTTCACTTGTAAACTTCCAAAATATAGTGAAATTAAAACAGTCTTTCACTTCAGTTTTATGCTGTGTCACATTAACCATTCGGGAATTAAGCAAATTAAGTAATGGGAAGAATAAGCAGCATATCTTAGTAAGTTACTCATTAAAACAGTACAAGAAGACAGCAGTTCTGATTGCTAATGATTTTGGTGACAGAAGGCTCATTCAACTAATGAAATTCATAAAATCTTGGATCAAAATCCTATCTCTGACCTCTAGGTGTGAAATGCAAAACAATCAACATTACTGTGCTTGTGCAATGACTTTGGAATATTTTGGTTTAATGACAAGCGGTGATGGGAACAATGCAGAGAATTTTCTGGTTGCGGTGTTCTTGTTTTCAGTGTACTGCATCAAAAACATCTTTAGTCATCCAAAGAATCAGACTATTTTAGTCCAAGAATCCAAAGAATCAGGCTATTTTAGATAAGTCATTTCTCTGGCTTAATCCCTTAGAAAATAATGCTATAAATCTTCATTTTAGTGAGGTGGCTGGACATGATATACATTGTAAAATATCCTGAAAATGCCTTTTCATAGGGTATATCAGTTTTGTGTGTCAAACTCAGGCTTAAATCCCTTTTCTAGTTAGTTAAAAAAGATAAGAGACTTTCGTCTTGTCTGCAAATTTCTATTTTTGTCTATATATTCTGCAACTTTTCTATTTTAAAAATTTTCACATGGCGTCTGTTAGAATAACTGTTGAACTTGAGTATGGAACTAAGAATTAGAAAATTGTGTTGCACTCCCACTTCTTGCTCTTGTCAAGATGGACCCTGGACCTCCTCTCTGCTTCCTTTCATCCATGCTTGGAAAAGAGAAGACCTTATATAGTCTTAAATGTAGCAAAAATATTTTCAGTGATGAGTTGTGCTAATGCAAGCCTTGTCTCTGTAAAGCAGACAAATGGATGATATGGAGACTATTTGGAATTGAAATATGTGTTGTTAAAAATTTAGCAGGAATTGCCCATTTTAGGGAAATTGTGTGTTTGCTTTCAAACTGGGTGACCTGACAGAATTGCTACAGAGCTGAAGGCTGCCTGGCACCTGACATCTCCTCTTACCGAGGAAACGGTTCTTCTCATTGCTCGGATTGTGTTAAGCAATGTGCCATGGGACTGCCAAGGGGAAATCAGGCAAGAGGCATCCATTCCTGAATAAGTAGAGCAATTAGAGGTTTTGAGACCTTGACTCCATCAGTTGAGCATCTCCTGGAAGTGAGAGGAGATGATGCCTACTTGAAGCAAGCCAGGGTGGAACTCGAGAGCCTGCAGGAAGGTGAGGTGTTCTTGTTCCATGTGGACTCTCTCTGATGCCATCTTTAGTTCTCTCCAGAGTAAAGTTTCTTGTGACGTCCTGGTCCCAGGTCCCCATTCTGTCCACCGGTGACTTTAACTTTCATTTATCTTCAACAAAAATACTTTCAAGTTGTGAGTTCTCTAGCAAAATGCTCTTTGCACCCATGCTGGCTTTTCATGTTTCCTGTGTATGTCAGCAGCCCCCTCCTGCTGTGCTGCTATTCTTTCACTTCCACCCCAAGAGACCCTTCAAATTTTGGCAAAGAGCAAGGTTACAGTCAAGCTTTGGGCTCACCAGGTTGTTTGTGAGGTTGTACTGGTCCCTGAAGGCTCGGATGACTGACATGGCGGCTGCTGCTCAGCAGCCGATAGCACACACCAGGATCTCTGTGGTTTTCCCCATGTGTAACCCATGCTAAGCCCAAGTTAATCCTTGCCAAGTCATTGATGACACGCTAGCAAAGAACACGTCTTCTTGTCTCTTCTTCCAGGTGGTAGCAAACGCTGTGGCTGCCTTGTCAGAAATCAGTGAATCTCATCCCAACAGCAACCTGCTGGATTTGAACCCTCAGAACATTAACAAGCTGCTGACAGCTTTAAATGAGTGCACGGAGTGGGGCCAGATCTTCATCCTGGACTGCCTGTCCAACTACAACCCGAAGGATGATCGCGAAGCTCAGAGGTACGGTTGTTCCCGCTCTTTGCATGGGCCGCTTGGGGTTATTTGGTAGCAGGGCACTTGCAGGCTTCTGGCAGTGTTACAACTCCTGAAAAAGACTTGTGATAACAGGAGTCTCTGTTGAGGTCTGTAACAGCACAAATAAGACTTGAAGTAAAAGAGGTTTAAAAGGAAGGCAACTTTCGGTACTTTGGGCTGATGCTGGAAACCTGCCCCTTCCCTTTGCAGAACCACTTTCTCTGTTTATTGTTAGGTTTTTTCTTTTACTTTTTTCCATTTAAAAGGCTAATTCTTATGGGAACTGGCCCTACTAAGAAGCGATCAGCCCAAGACAAAACCTGTAACAATGGAAGCACTGTTTGGAGGATTTTCTGGTTTAAATCGGAGCTTTCAAATCTGGTTTTGCTACTTTGAGACACAAGAAGCCCTTATAGGTTTGGGGGTTTCCAAAGTACTACAGGTCTGAGACTGGAATATTTTTTCCAACTAAAAACTGGTCTGTGATATGGTAGAACTGAAAATAAAGGTAAGGAAATTATTTTCCTTATCACTCCAGTTTCATTCTTGTGCTTTTACCTTTAGCTGCAATGACTAAACCTAAATACAAAGACCTTAGGGTTTAGGTAGTGGAGAGTTAATTCATGCACTTCAAGCCTCCTCCTCATCTGTGTCCAGAATCACCAAAAGTCATATCCTGTACCCAAGAGAACAAGGAACCAGCAAGAAGAATTATTTGAAACGGGGGAATTCTCCGACTTGATATATTTCATGTAGATGATGTGGTGGATGGAGGGGGAGGAAAGGGCACAAGCCCAAGTGCAAAATCCTGGGCAGGCCTTTTTGAATTTGATGGGTTTCTTCACTGACTGGTGTTTGAGGCACAACCGATAATCCACTTTTTAAAAAAGGCCTGCCAGTAGTCTTGCTGATTTTTTTTTTTTTTTTCTCCCCACCTCCCTCCCCCTTGTGTTCTGTTTCTGTGCCAGAAACAGCTATTAATGAGTGCTAGAAACCTGCAGAGATCTCCAGGGTGTCAGGCTTGTATTATTATTATGTCAGAAAGGGACCACTAGTTTGAACAACTGTGAACATGTCCCAGTTCCTCATCCGTAATTCCTCTGAAGTGGTGTGTAAAACTGGATGGGCAGTAACTCCTCTTACTCCTTTGTGTGGAGTTTGACTCTTGGAGCCTGCCTTATTTCAGATAGGAGAATGACAGCACTTAGTTTTATATAGTGTTCTCCTTCACAGCAAGGCTGATGTTGTTACCCCTGTGCGTGGAGAAACTGAGGCACGGAGAGATGAAGCAGCTTTGGCGTGCCAGGTGATCTTGGGCGGAGGTGGCTGGGGATTGCCCCCAACTCTGACTTAGACTCCTCTGCTCTTCACTTAGCCATGCTGCTTCCCTTCCAGGGTGGCTGAAAGCAAATCTTTCAGGGAAAGAAACTTCAGGAGGCACAGATGGGAATAAGATTGTTCTGGGTTAGCAATATGTGGGAGGGGGTGGAAAGAAACTTGACAGATGCTGCAAGAAAGACCATATGAACCCAAACTTCCTTTCTGCTTGGGATGGGTTGTTTAGGATGCTGTTGATTGTAGGATCCACTGAGGCAAGTGGTGAAGCTGAGACTTGGGAGGGTATTTAGGTCACTCTTTCCCTATATCTTCAGAGTAACAGAAACCTTTTTTTGCAGAAACAAATGGTTGAAATGGCAGCAACCCCCCCCAAGCAAGCCAGAAGCATGTATCACCTCTGAATGATTATATGGGGGCTAAGGTGTTTTTCTCATAGCTGTTTTGTTAAAGTTGTGTTTGTAAGTGACAGACGAGATCACAGAAATAGAGAATACCACCAGGCAAAGGCAGGAAGCACTAATGACTGAATATGTGTTGGGGCTGTAATGCTGAGATCTGGAAGAGTTCCTGAGCTAACTGTGGCAGGAGAGAAGCTTGAAGCTGTGAGAGAAGTCATTCTTGTCTGCTTCCTGCTGTGTTCAGGAAAGCAGGACTTTGCCTGTTCTTATGAACAAAACCAAAGCAAAGTAGTGTCTGAGAAGCTGTCTTCAGCCATGTACAATCTTTAAATTCAGATAAGACCTGAAATATTTGACATTCTGAAATACGTGTGAACCCTTTCTTACTCCTCTTTCTCCAGTATTTGTGAACGGGTGACCCCTCGGCTGTCTCATGCCAACTCGGCAGTGGTGCTGTCAGCAGTGAAGGTCTTGATGAAGTTCCTGGAACTTCTTCCCAAGGACTCTGACTATTACAACATGCTGCTGAAGAAACTTGCCCCTCCGCTGGTGACTCTGCTGTCTGGAGAGCCTGAAGTTCAGTATGTTGCCCTGAGGAACATCAACTTGATTGTGCAGAAAAGGTAAAGCCTCAGGGAGCTGTTATTCCTGGGTTGTCGAAGGGCATCTAGTTATCTCAGACCTTCAGATATTTCTACATGCACAGAACTTCATTTAATCCAGGTTCAGATCCCTCGAGGGACAGTTTAAACAGTCTCATGACTCTGGTAGCCTGAATTAATTTTCTTTACAGCATACTTGTGATACTGGTATCATACAGTATCTCTTTACCTGCCTCTCTCTTTGCCACCTTTTTAAGAGCCGTAAGAACTGCCCTCTAATCAGACTCTAAATTAGATTGCAATAGGAAGGAGGGTGTAACTGTACAGTTCATAGTGACCTGTAGAAACTCAATGTGCCTATGCTATTCTCTTCAGCATAGAAAATAGAGGCTGGTGACATACTGATGTACAGTGGGTTGGTTTTTTTCACCAGTTTACTCCCACATGCATGTTTAAATACTGTTCCTTGCTGGAAAGGTGGGATAGGTTGGATAGCACTTTGTAGATTGTATTCAGGGCAGAGTTACTGTGCACTGGCATCTTGCAAGTGAAAGCAGAAAATGAGTTTGTAGGTGGGGTTTGCATTGAGATAAGGATGTTAGTCTTTCACTGAAAACACTGTCATCCACTGACTGACTGCAGTGGTTGGCTCAGCAGTTCAAATGGAGGAAGTAGAGATGTAGGCATAGACAGACTTGAATTCTGCATTTTGTGTCTAAATCTTTTTCTCCAGCTTCTAACTTTCTTCAAAATGTTGTTCTCGTATGTTTGTTTGCATGTCCTGGACACAAAGGGACACCATTCTGTTTCTCAATGAATGTTTGAGTAGATTTCTAAACAAAAGATACCTTTGGTTAGGATATAGCCCATTGTTTTTACCAGCCTTAAGTGAAACAATGTTATGTTCCCCCCAGGCCTGAAATCCTGAAGCAGGAAATCAAGGTGTTCTTCGTGAAGTACAACGACCCCATCTATGTCAAACTGGAGAAGCTGGACATCATGATCCGCCTAGCTTCTCAAGCAAACATTGCCCAGGTCAGCTGAGGAACTTCCAATGTGTTCTGCATGTGTTCTGGGGATGGAAAACCATCTCGGGGTCCTTGCATGAGGATATATGCAGCTACTTCTAGTGTTGTCCTGGCTTTTAGGCATCACTGTCCCTGGTAGAGTGCTCTTTGCAGCTACTTAATGGGAGGTGTTGGAGTTTCCTCCATAATGTAAATGTTAATAGCATGGTATGTCTTAGATCGTGACCATTAGGTAGATCTTGTTTTACAGATTACAATTCCAGGAGGAGAGCTGATGTCTCCTGTCAAATGAGTCACTGCTAGTGCTGAGGTTGGAATGAGAGGCTTGTTTCAAGTGAGAGAGGTGTGCCTGTAACGGGGGCATTCAGAAAGGCCAAACATTACTGAAGTGTGAATTTCAAGTGTATTAGTTAAATTGTTAAACCCTTGCATAGGCACTCTTCAGAGCTAAAATAACCTTTGTTTTGTTTAGCTTGCTTCCAGAGTTGAAATAGCACAAAGCTAAAGCTAAACTGAATTGAGACTGCTTTACAGCCTAGATTCTCCTTGGATTTGATATTGTTTTAATCCACATTCCTTTCTGAGAGGAAGTGGCCTTGAGTGCAACCCTTGCCACAAGGCCTAACACTAATGTAGAATGATTAATGTCTCTGGTTAGTGCTATTATTGTGCTATCCTAATTGTCACAGAACAGTTTCATTTAAAGTGTCATTTTTAAGCAGCTCTCTTCAGCTCTCTCCTCTGATGTTTTTTGGAACAGAGCAAGATAATTCATGCCCCTTTTGTGCTGGGGACATGGAAAACATTTTAAAAATCAGTTTCCATGAGAATGTATTCAGAATTTTCTATTTACTCTTGGTAGGTTCCATACCAATTTTAATGCATAATGTTTAGATAATGCAGGTTGTTTGGATGAAAGGCAGTGGTGTCTGGAGGGCAGAGTCTGGGATTGGAATCTGCAGACTAACGAATGACTCTTCTCCTGGTTCTAAAGAGGCATTCCTAAAAACAACCCCAAGCTTCATCAGAAATATGCCCTGAAATGAGACGCAAGGAGAGCAGGCTTCTACCTGCATCCTCCCTGTGTGGCTTGTCAAGACTGTTCATCTTCATGCCTGTTCTAGACCAAGGCAGCAGACTAGTTGTATCCGAGTCACTCAGACTTGGGCAGTATTTGAAAAGCATAAGCTGCTAAACCTGGGTGCTCTAAGTACTGTGCAACATAGATCATCCAAGGAAATAATAAAACTTCAAAACACAGATGTCCTGTCTACTCCTTGAAGATTTATTTGTCTGCAGTCTGGCCCTTCAAGGCCTCTTCATCTTGTCATTGTTCTGAACAATTTGCATTGACTAGAGATTTTTTCAAACCACTGTCTCGCTTTGTGCTGTTCACCTCTCCTTTGCTATCTATTTGTGACATCACGATGAAATCCCCGATGTCACGTTTGACATGAGAAACTGAAACAAATGAGTTTATGAGGGAATATAAATTGTGTAGGGTCTTTTTCTAATTTTTTTTTTTCTTTCTAAACTAAGTGATTTGTTTAAGACAAAGTAGCTTTTTAGTTAGTGGTTTGTAAGATCCCAGCAGGTCCTGGTTCAAGCCCTTGTTCAGTTTCCATTAGCAAAAAACCTGAGACAAACCAGTAAATCTTATTCTTAAGAGGGGGAGATATCTTCATATTGTTAATCTCTGTATAGGTGTTCCAGGGTGTCCTCAGATCTCCTCTGGATCCTCAGTTTGGATCCAGTAGAGATCCAGATGTTCGTCTCAGCACAGAAAAGGAGGGATTAAGAATGGTTGTTGCTGAGAGCTTTGCATACAGTGAATGTAGAACAATAAGTACAATAAACCACACATAAAATCTATGTGTATGGATGTGACCCCTACTTCACTGTATTTTCAGTGTAAGAATGAACAGCAACATTTAAGTTTGGCAGGGCTGACTTTGCCCCCAGCTTTTGTTCAGGGGAATTTGAAAATAATCTAGACTGAGCTATCTTTTGGCTTTGGCCAGCCTAAACCAAGTCTTGCTGCCAATCCAAACCAGTGGGTTTCAGAGACAGAGACTGATTACAGAGTTTGTTAGCTTTGAATGTGTGTGGCTAGCTGTGGAAGAATACATCCTGCTCGTGTTATGGTATTCAAGTAGCATCACTTGTCAGAGTGGGATGTACTCTCTGTGTGACCCCAGAGATTCACATTGGTGTGCTTTCTCTGCAGGTCCTGGCAGAGCTTAAGGAATATGCTACTGAGGTGGACGTTGACTTTGTGCGTAAGGCTGTCCGAGCAATTGGGCGCTGTGCCATCAAGGTTGAGGCAAGTATCTGAATCTTAAGGTTTTCTGTGATTCTGTGTTTTCAGAAACAATTATGAGCTTTGCAATCTTGTTCCCACCATATGCAAAGTTTCTTTGCTCCTGTGTGGGCAATCAAGTGATCTGGATATATCATGCTCATGGGCAAAGCCCCAGCTGAACAGTAGGACTCGTGAGCTCCAGGTGAGTACATCACAGGAGGGTGGTGTGCTCCTCTCAGACCTCAGTTGCAGGCAGAACAAAGCAGCTAAATCATCCTTGATGGAATATTTTTCTGCACTGGCTTCAATGGAACAATGACCACTTATCCATGAGGACCTCCTTTAATAGCTGTGGCCTGACGTTTTGAAGGCGGAAGGAGAGGATATTGTGCAAAGAAACTCAGTATTATGAAAGGTTTTGTCTCCCTCGTTGCAGCTGAATAGAACACACATGCATAGAATTACAGAGGTTTGGTGCATGTAAGTGCAATTTGCACAAACATAGTGGCTCCATCCTGCTTATCTAGTGTTAAAGGTCCATATAGCTTGTAGCTTCATTTGGACTGTGCTCTCTTTAGCCTAGATGCTTATGCAAGTAAGTTCCCAAGAACCTCTGCAGTTACCCAAAACAACAGTCTGAAATGTCCTCTGCCAGTTGAACATCCACCAAAATGCTCATAACAGACTTATTTTTTTTTAGTGATGTCCCTGTTAATCTCCCTGTAAATGAATCTGCTATGCCTGACAGGAGCTCAGAAAGCCTGTGAAGAGAGGGAAGACTTACGCTGTGGTGTCGGTACTTTTCAGTAAACTGATAACTGAGTGCAAAATGTCACATAAGTGGTCTAATTTCAGCTGAGCTCATTTAGCTTTTGCTAAAGTGTGTTCCTATGAGCATTGCCTGACAGCAGATTTAAATAAAAACCTAATCATGCCTGGCTGAGTATAGTGTCAGTGCACAGGTTTCCCTTGTTTCAGCTAAACTACCCTAAGTCTGTGTAGAGGCCACCAACTGCTGACACCACTGTCTGCACCATGCAGCCTTGTCTTCCTTCCTTCAGCTCCTAAAGGTTTATCACTGCCATGGGCTTTCTTTTAAGCGTGGCCCAATAGAGCAGGTGATTGCTGCCTCTATTTCATGTCTGCAGTTCAAAATACTGGAGTGCTTCTTCCATGTTGTGTGCAGGCAGGAGGCTGTCTGGATGGAGCCACAGCAGTAGAAACAGTAGAAAATGCTCTTGAGTGGGGAAGAGGGCTACTGAGAAGTCAAAAGAAGCTGGTGGTAGCCTTTTTTTGTAGTGGTGCTTGTGCTGGGAAGTGGGAGTTTGCTTTAGTTCTCAGTAGACACTTTCTCACTAGGATTTGACCATGTGTCTGTCTTAGTTTCACATGAAAGGTGGTGGTATTCCTGCAGTATCAAGGTGTTTTTAGGCGTTTTTACCCCTTTCCTGCCCTCATCCGCTACATTCTTTTCTTCCCAGCCCTGATATGAAGATGGCCACATTCAATATGCAAAGGACTAATAATAATGTCCCAGCAAATGTGCAGTGACCCTCTAACTGTGTAATTGTCTCTCAATAAGTCGCGTTAACCTTGATTTTTAGCAATGCTCCTTGGAAGACACTGCTGCTAAAGATGAGGTCTGTTTACTCCTCTAACGAGAGCCAGATTTAAGGAGGGCAAATATAGAACAACTCATTACAGTGTCCTCATCTCTAGGTTAATCCCTGTCCCCAGTGCATCTGTGTTTACTAGAGGCTGTTTGCACTGTGAATTATGACTAATGGAAGAGCATTCTCTCAGCCATCAGTGTCCAAGTTCCCAAGGCTTAGAAATCTGCTTTTTGTCATAGGGCACAGCCAGCAGGAGCTGTTGATGAATGAATATTCATGGGGAACCTCAGCTCTGCCTTCAAGGATCCTACCTTTTGTCTAATTGTCTTCCCGAGAAGAGTAAGACAGTAAATAAATTTGTCTGCTGCGACATGCACCATAGAGCAAGTGTGGCGTTACCTTTGCTGCGCAGCAGCGCATGGTACTAACAGCAGAGGTAGTGCTTGTTTTGGAATTGTAAGCAATACCCATGCTGACTAGCAGGGCTGATGGGTTTTGCCCAAGCTTAAGTAGTCATATTGATTTGGGGGATGTCAGAACAACATCATTTTGCATGGATAGTCTAGCTGGGCTCAGAGTTAGTTTGAGTATGTCTACAGCAAACCGTGTGGTATATCTAGACTTGACAGCCCGAGGTGAAGGTATCTGGCTTGTGCATCAGTTTGCTCCATTGACAGCACTAGATGAAGAAGTCGTCTGATGCTTTGATTGTACGGAAACAAAGCACCACTCCTACAGGAAAAGGAAATGAAGTGGATGCAGTAAGAACAGTGATTCCTCTGAAGCAAAGGAGAAGCAGAAGGAGCCATATTAGAAGGGGATTTGTCCCGGTTCCAGGAGATTCTGCCAGCAGTCTGGTTCTTAGAAATCATTGAGGCTTACAGCTGTGAGCATGGTGTGTGCTACTTCAGTAATCCTGCAGGATTTCATTTGGTGTCTACAGAAAACCAAAGCAATTTTGATGTTGGTTGGTTGTCCTTCCTCACTCCAACTTGAGTGCTGTTCTGGTTGGGGCACTCTTTCATCAGTTTGCAGAGCACTGCAGTCCCCAGGGAGGTCCACCTTCAAGTAGCAGTGTGTTTACAAGGGATGGGGTGAGCTGAGATGTATTTTGTTAGAGGAACTGCTCTGCTGTGCTTGTGCCCACATGACTGCTCACTTTCCAAAGGACTCTTGGGCTAAAAATCAATACTGCATATTTCAAAGTGGATGTTTTGCTCTTCCTGGAAAAATCATGCTTTGAAGTGTCTAAAGAAAAGAAAAATAAACCTTAATTTGCTTTTCCTTGAATTCCGCAGCTCTCAAAGCTTTGCTAGTTGTAGGCTTTGACAGGGCTGGACTGCTTGTTGCAAAGAGTGACTGATGCTGTAAGTTCTGTAGAGCTGGCTTAGGACAGATTTACCCCAAGTGCCCCAAGGCCCGCAGGGCCATGTGTTAAAACATCTAGTGAAAGTTGTTGAGAAACTGGCAGGAGATGAAATTGCAAGCTCTGAAGCATCTATCTTGCAAGGACTCTGAGTGGGGTTCCTACTGTGTGCAATGTCAGTCTGTGTGGAGGCAGGTTCATGGTCAGTCTCAATGAAATGGAAGAGTCTTCCAGGTCACAGGCCTCAAATCTCTTCTTGAGCAGGAGAAGGGTGCAGAGTAGGATGTTGTCAGATTGCCATTTCACTGACTCTGTAGTGGCACAGTACCTGTAAAGCTGTGCTAAGGAGGGAGAGGTGTCATAAAAAAAATTATACCAATCATATAAAATTACACGATACCTCTCCTTACTCTGACGCCATTTGTATTGGATTTTTTTTCTGTTTGGTGTGAATTGCAGGGGAGAGCCTTACGACCTTTAGAGCCAGTTTGCAAAGACAGAGCAAATGCTGGTTTACAGTGTCTCCTCTCTTGGCTGATCCCCATGCCAGCATTGCCACTGTTTGCGCTTGTAGGCTGTGTTTGTAAGATACCACAGCTAGAGTCACAGGGGCAAGAAATCAGCAAAAGGTTTTAGTCTCTGCTTGTCCCAAATTCAGCTCTACCGGTCTTGAGGTTTGTCCTTGAGATTTTTGTCCATTTTCAAAAAAATTATTCCTTTGACTTAAATGCCAGAGCATTCCTCCTCCTCCTCCTTCTGCCCAGCCTTCAAGTGCTCTGAAAGTGAAGGGCACTGTTAGCTCACTCGAATTGAAAAATCCACCTACGTTGCTATTGTTTGTGCCCTACGATATTTGTCTCAATCCTGAATGCTTTATGAATGTTCTGATGGTGACTGCCTAGGCAGTGTCATGAGCAGTCTGCTTCTCACATTAATCACCAGCTGTGTAATGAGGCTTCATATGTGCTCTGCTAATAGCCAAATTGCTGTCCTTATCTGAGACTCTCTGGTGCTGGAGTGGGTTGCTCCTGTGATGTCCTGCCTCACTGTGCTGTTTGGGAATAGACCTCCCTGAATTATTTGCCTCTGTCTCAAGTTCTGGTTCCTGGACCATGCCAGTGTCCAGTCTTTGTTATGTTACAGTGCCTGTGGCTGGGAATTTTGAACTAATTAATGTGAAAGCTGCATTAGCAAGAGCTGGATTTCTATTTATAGCTGTATCTTCACATGTTGCTAGTGACCTCACCCCAAAAATACTGAACCTCTTGCTGGTGTGAGCTGCTTTTTGCTGCTGTTCTTGCAGCATGATTGACAGCATGGTTTTCTCCTGCTTACTAGCTTCCCCAGACACCTTCCAGCAGTCCTTGTCAAAACTCTCCCAGCTTTGGTTGCCACAGCTTGGGCAAGTCCAGGAGAGCTCATTCAGTGGCCTTTTTCAACTGCTAGTCAGCAAGAGGGTGATATAAGTAGTAATGCAGGCAATGTTCTTAAGGTCTCTTGTGTGGTGATCCAGCTATCTACTGGCACAGTTGTTTCAACTGTTACTTTTTGCAGGAGTTGGAGTCAGCTGGTATCTCCACTGTAATACACAAGCACTTGTCAACCTGTAGTTTTTTTCTGGACATGCATATTGAGTTGGTAGCTGTCATCCTTTTGTCTTCCCACTCTGGGCCTTTTCTCCTGTGCCTGCCTTGTGCCTCAGTGTGCGCTATGGGCTGGGAAGGAGTGTTTCTTCAGCTTGTTTTAGTTGTACTGTTCTGTTCTTCTCTCTAGCAATCTGCAGAGCGCTGCGTGAGCACACTGCTAGACCTCATCCAGACCAAGGTCAACTATGTGGTCCAGGAGGCCATTGTGGTCATCAGAGACATCTTCCGCAAGTACCCTAACAAGTACGTGAAAGTAGTATAAGGTTTTTGGGAAGCTCTTGTCTGCTAGCATCAGAATAGAGCAATGTAAAACTCACTCAGCATAGCTTACCAGGGCTCTGAAGCAAAGGTGGCCGTTTTTCTGAAAAGCAACGTCCATTCCGATTCTAGGTCCTAGGTACAGTAGGATTTGGAGGCTGGCTCTAGATGAGGTATCACCCTGACACATTATTAGTTTGAATTGAAAGCTTCCTTCCCCACCACTCCATATTGATGCTGAGTATAAGCCTTAATCAAAAGCTAGTAAAGCTCTTGTAGAGAATGCCAGAAGGAAGGTTTGACCAAGGTTACAGCATCAGGCTTCTGGTTTTGCTCGTCTGCTCTAGAAGGCTCATACAAGGCCATGAAGGTTCATGGCACTCATGATCTGAGATCCCAGTCAGATTGTGCTGAACAGAACACTGCTGGTTTTCTCCATCGAGTGTTCTCTCTGGCTTGGGCAGTACTCAGCTTCTTTTAAGCTGTTTCTGCAATAAGGTTTTGTCTCTTCAGCTACAGAACAGCAGCAGTGTCTTTCAGCAGAGACTTCATGATCACCTAAAAAAGTAATATGGGAGATCTGCAGGCCTCTCTGGCAATTTCTGCTGTCAGCTACAAGATAGATTGCCTGCTTATGACAGGGATACCCACGCATGGGAATAGGGGAAGCTAAATAATTAGTGTGGGGTATTGTCTGTTTTACAGCAAAGCCTTTCGGGAAGTGTAATATGCAGTTTAGAGTTACCAGTCTAAAGATGCCAGTGAGGCTGCAGGATCTGATACAAACTCATGGTTTGAACTGTTGGATGATCAAATGTTCCCTTTAGCAAAACAGGGAGAGGGAGGCAGCTTTGTCTTGCATTCCACATCTGGGTGCTCTTGCTGGTTAATGAAACTGCAGAGCTCTTGAGGACCCTGTGACATCTTAGTACTCAGCCTGGAAAAAGAAAAAGCCTAGGAATATCTTCTGTAGTTGAGTGAAAATGCTGCTTGTTGCATAGAAATACAAGACATTGTAATTCAGTGCAGGATTCTCTGCAGAATTATGTGTGCGGAGATGGAGTAACAAGTTGAAATCACCCCAGTAATCCACCTGTACTCTGACAAATCAGGTATGAAAGCATCATTGCCACTCTGTGTGAGAACCTAGATTCCCTGGATGAACCAGATGCCAGAGCTGCCATGATCTGGATAGTGGGCGAATATGCAGAAAGAATTGACAATGCAGATGAGCTGTTGGAGAGTTTTTTGGAGGGCTTCCATGATGAAAGTACTCAGGTAAAATTGTGTTGTACATCTTATCTGTAGTGTTTCATGCAGTGTATGTATGGGATGGAAAGTAAATATTATGCAGTGGTCAGAAAATACCCCCCAATGAAAACTTCAATATTTGGCTAAAATAAAACTCTTGGGAGACTGTAGACTTGCTCTGTTGTCTGTATCTCCCAAACTTCTCTTCTTGGAAGGATAAGACAGAACAGGAGGGGTTTCTAGATGTTGCATACTTCTTGGGTAATAGCCCTACTAGGGACCAGAACATACAGAAGAATAGTGATGAGATGCATAAAAGTATGACATAAATCTCAGTGTGCTGATCAGGGACTTGTCTGCGAAAATGTTTTGCAACAGGCAAGATTCTGCATCTCATTGTAATGGGTTTCACTGGCAAAGAATAGTATAATGTTGTTATAAAGCATAGGACTTGAGTTTCATATCAGTAAAGGATGTTGAGACTTGGGAGGTGTCGCTAAAGCATGGATGAATTTTCTTATCTCTACTGTGTCCCTTTCTCTTAGGTGCAGCTCACCCTGCTGACTGCTATAGTGAAGCTGTTCTTAAAAAAGCCTTCGGAGACACAGGAGCTGGTTCAGCAGGTCCTCAGCCTGGCCACGCAGGTAAGCCAAGATATCCAGTGAACCAGAGCCCTCCAGACGCTGTGTTGGCCTGCTGTGTGGTGTCTCCCATCTAGCAGGCCAATCAGCTTTGCAGTAGATGGGATTCAAGCGTGTTCCTCTCTCTCCCATAGCGACTCCATTTAAGAGCTGCTCTGTGCCTGTTACCATGCCATCTGGCATCTGCTCTCTCCTCCTCAGCTCTTGCTTCATCCTAATTCCTTCCTTGTTCCCTCACCAAATGAAAAGTTAGAGACAGGGTAGAGTTACGAAGAAACAAAAATGCTTTCTCCTTGAAGGTGGCTTGCATCTGGAGCTAAGACAGAGGGAAAGGGCCTGGCAAAGACTTTGTTTTGCGAACAGCAAAGCATAAGCAGTGCTATGAAAAAGAAAGAACTGAGGTTTGGTTTTTTTCCTTTGTCCTTGGATGCTGTCAACCAATGTGGCAGCTTTGCTGGAGGCTGTAACAGTGGGTTAAGATCCCAGATTCATTATGCATGAGGTGCTGAGTTATGAGCTCAGATCACTGCAGGCGGGGCTGGGCTTGAGCTGGCAGACAGAAGTGCTGCAGTTCAGGAGGACAGAAGTGGAGATGTCGTGGTGGCAGGAGTGGGGAAGACCTCAGCTGATCCTCCTACACTCCTTGTCTGTAATGACTGGGGTAAATGTGTGATGGTGTAGTCCAAAAAGAGCAGCTCCTCTCCAGACCTGCTATGTCAAGTGATGGAAATAGTCTCCCAGCTGTTCTGAATAGGCTGCGATTTTTTCTGAGCAGAAAACCTGGAGTCAATCATCAGCTGGCCTTTTTGGTTGTCTTTGCTGCCAGAAGTCATGGCTGTGGACTATTAGTACTTAAAACTTTTATTCATCCCTTTGGGGGTGTCGCATTGGCCAGTGGCAAGAAATCTGTGGCCTGCTTTTCTTGCTTCAAAACCTGCTATTAGGCAGGCTCTCAGCTCCTCTTTAGAGAGGGGTGGGCCAAGGGCATGCTGTGTCATTTGTCTAAGTCAACAGAAGAAAGGTACTAAGTGTTAAAACCCACTATGCTGAGTCACAAAACACTTAATGGCACCCTAGGAATATAATAGGCGTCTGTTTTTTCTCTGTTTGTCACAAATGTTGATTCAGTCTGGCTTCTTGTATTTTATGTGAATAATAAGTCAATGTAGGATAACTGGCTGTAAAACACTAAAAAGCCTCATGCTTCAAGGTCTGATTTCTAGGTAGAGATACTGTTTTTCACTTGAGTGGGAGAGTAATTACATGTGTGTTTCTTTCCCCAGCCTTAGGTATTGTTGCACTTTGAGTGTCTCAGCAAACTGCAGGTGTGATTGTAGCAGGAGCCAGCTTAATCCAGCCAACACTGGTGAAAATAGCAATGAAGCAGCTGGGGATGGGAGGGACACAGATGTGTAGCAGTGATCAAGGTCCCTGGCAAACCCATAACCTAATGGATGGCACAGAGCCTCTACATCTCCATAGCTGTTGTCTGTGTGGTGTGGGTGGGTAACCAAGCTAGCATGGTTTTGTTGTTATGCACCACAGGTGCACATGCAGACCCTGGAGAGGGGAGAATTGGGAGAAATGTGGAAAGGGAAGATCTGAGCCTCTTGTTCCAGTAGATTTACTAAAGTTTCAAGTCTGTTTATTTGGCTGTGGGAAGAAACAGTCAGTCTTGAATCTGTATGTGCCTGCAAGTAGATAGGAGCATGTGGTCTTTCATGCCTGCCCTTGTAGAAGCCCTGCCTGATCTTGATCTGCCTGCCGCAGGCAGCCTGCAGAGAATCTTGTAGGAATTGTTAAGGGCGAAGGGTGTAAAGAGTCCACGACTCCACCATCAAACTGAAAAACAGCACTGCAGAGAAATCTATCAGTTGACCCAGACATTGTATCTAGGTCCTTACAAGCAAAATGAGCTTAGCGTGCTCAGTCTCATTACAAATAGAGGTTTTGCTGTGTGCCTGAGAATGTCTTGAGACAGACGGCAGAGAGTCAGGTTATAGCAGGTCAGCAGCAGCGTGAATGAGATCACAGAAGAAGAAAAGAAATGACAAGGAGGAACGCCAATGAGGTATACAATATGTTGCCAGAATTTTACGGGAAAGCCTCAGAAACATTTACCCCGTTATTCTGCTGATGTGGGGATTAAAAATCCTAGCTCTTGTTTCCATGAACAGTTCAAAACATGTTGCGCTACAACATAAAAAGCACACCACCTCCCTCTCCCTAGAACATTAGCTGCAAACTATCACCAGTCACTTTGCTGTTCTGGGCAGAGCTATTTGAAAAGGAGAGAAATAATAAGCACTTCATGCAGAGGCAGAAGTATCTGCAGTAAAACAAGGGTATTATTGACAGCTGGAGAACCGGTGAAGTATCTGAACTGTGTATCATTAGCATCTTTCCATATGTCATTAGATAACTAAAAGGTAGGATAAATAAGATCTCTTTTAGTATGAAGAATATGGCCTATTAAGATCCATCCTGTAGCTCTGCAGTGTCTTTTTGTCCAGCAGTGCCCTTGGGTAAGTCATATATTTCCAGGAATCTTGGATCATTCTGTTACAATGTGCAGTATTGCATGTCTGCTCTTAGTATGTGACAGAGTCATTTTGACTCGCTTTCTTTTCTTCTGTCTACACCCCCTTGGATTTCTCCTAATACTTACTGTTATGTCAAGTGGCACAGAGTTTGGAAAGTAGTTGATGGCTCTGTGGGTTGGAGCAAATGTGGGATGTAAATCCTAGGCTTTTTGCTCCCTGACCTGCTGAGCAGGAAGCTAGGCATTAATACTTTGGTTCTCACTTTTAATTTTGGGATGTTCTTCACAACAAGCAGTTTGTATCATCATTCTGAAATTGGTGACTGTTGCAACTGGATGGTTGTTTTTTTTTAATCCAGCAGAATCACTGCTAGAAAAATTAAGTGATTACAGGCATTAGTCCGCCTCAAACCTGTGACCTGTATTGCTTTGTCCCAGGATTCTGACAACCCAGACCTGCGGGATCGTGGCTACATCTATTGGCGCCTTCTCTCCACGGATCCAGTGACTGCCAAAGAAGTGGTCCTGTCAGAAAAGCCACTTATTTCTGAAGAGACCGATCTGATTGAACCGACTTTGCTAGATGAGTTGATCTGCCATATTGGGTCTCTGGCTTCTGTGTACCACAAACCACCCAACGCTTTTGTGGAGGGGAGCCATGGGATCCACCGCAAACACTTGCCAATTCACCATGGAAGGTAAGCTGAGGCAACCGTGGTGATGATGGGCAGGATTGGTTGTTTCTTTCTAGCAAACAGACCAAAAGGTGCAAAGACTTTTTTTTTTATAACACTCCAGTGGTGTTTTGTTGATTGTGTAGGGGCTTGCAGGTCATTCAAGGGACCATTTCATTGTAGAATTTAATCCTGGGTATGGAGTGTCTGAGTTCCTGGATCAGAAGACAGAGGAAGTATCAAAGTTCTTGTGTGAGGAGAAGCTATGATGTTTTTTCAGAAGGCGCTGGCTGTAAGCCCTCTTGACATGAGAGTTTGAATAAAAAAGCAGAAGCTTTGGATAACTGGTGCAAGGGCATACTTCCAGGAGGATGACTGTGGTAAAAACAAACATCTTTTTGAGAAGGATACACTTCTTTGATTTTGTAAGAGCTTTTGCTTCAGCAACAGCGCAGCTTTACAAGCCTCACTTGTGTAGAATAATGCTGGTTTCCTGGAACAGGCAAGTACAGGGATCCTTTGCTGTTGGAATGTGAAATGGGGAAGGACTGGTAAAACTACCTTTCTCACTTGGTGCCTATTAAGCAAGGGGAGTGTACAAGCCATCTAAGCCCGATCACTGAAAACTGGGATTAAAAGAAGATGGCCAGACTGCTAAGGTTCTGTCTAACCTTTGGTGGGGGGGGGAATGCTTTGGCTTATTGTCTGGGGCTTAATGCTTCCCCGTGATCATAGTCCTGGAAGTGGGTTAGATCTGCAAGAGCAGGCAGTACAGTAGTCCTGGGCTGCGGCTGGTTTGCTGTTGAGCCTGTTCCTGTGGTTCCTCATTCAGGTAAGCAGTGCTATTTGCACTAACGGTATTAATGACAAACGTAAGTGTGCTTTACAAGAAGCAAGAGTATCCAGGCTTACCTCTTAATAATATTCCCGAAGTGACATTTGGAGTGCTATTTTTTGCTGTTGCACTGATAAATCAGTGTGCGATGCTGCTCCTTGTCTATTTTCTGACACCACTTCTCTGCTATTCTTAGCAACTAAAGCTATTTCTGTAATAACTAGCTTTTGGAAGCCGAGTTGTTTTCTCCCTGCCTGTGAAATCAAGTCTGGCTGCATTGACCCAGGACCAGGAAGCACAAGCCTACCAGTTGGAGAAGAAAAGCAGTGGCTGCTTTCCACAGCTACCCCTCCTAGTCAAAGATTTGCCTCAAAAGCAAAATGAGCTGGGGTGAGGGTTGCTTTGGTCTTTGGTGTTACCAGCCTTCCTCTACACTGTTGTTTCAGGTCACTATGGAAGCTAACGTTTTAGGGGTTTTTAGTCAGCTCAAGAAATTCAGGTTTTGCAAGGAGTGGTCTTTTTACTAGCTTCTTGAGTATATTGTGTACATGGCTTGACTCTCATAGCTCATGCTCAAACAGTCTGCTGACCTCAAATCTTTTCTGACTATAGCAGTGTTGTACATTGCCTTGGTGGTGTTTACTACCAAATTACCCATTCCTTCAACGTAAAACCTTCAGGCCTCAATCAGCAGTGGCAAGCTGAGGAAGCCAGAGTTGGGGGAGGGTCTCAAGGGTGCTCAGCAGAGCACGCTGCATACTGATGCAGTGCTCTAGACTGTTTGGTAAATTAAAAAACTGAGTGGTGTTAATGGCACACCAGGCTTCTCTGATGTGAACTCACCTCGTAAAGACACCCCATTATTGTGGTTTTCTGCTTTACTATTAGCAAAAGGACAGTAAAACCTTACTAGCTGATGCCAAGGCCTCCTTGTACCATGTCACAGCATACCAAATTGCCACTTTCAGCAATGAGAATTACAGTGAGCAGCTCTGCAGGAGCATGGTTGTGGAGAGCCTGAATTTGTGCATCCAGTATGATTTTACTGATGACTAAGAAATTGGTTTGCCTCTTTCTGATGCTGAATGTGCATGAAAAGATACATTAAAATCTGTCAGTTTAAGGCAAGTTAAGGGTGTCCAGTGAAAGATAACCTCCTCACCTAGCTATTTGGAGTTATCTTCATTACTTCTGCACTCCAGTAATGACCATTCTGGTGGCTGACCCATCCGCTAGAGACTGAGGTTTTCCTTCAGATTGCACAGTGAGATAGAGGTGGAAGCATGGAAATGTGGAGATGTCTACCGTGAATGTGGCTTAAGAGAGTCAAGATAGCATTCCCTTGAGTAGATGGGCAGAAGTAGCTAGATGAGTGGTGCTTTCCTGGGTATAAACCTATGAGGAGTTAGTTACGGTTGGGAGAATGCATGCACTACATTGCATTTTGATTCATTTCTTTTTCATTGAAAGCAGTGTAGGACAGGTTCCTTTCAGCTCTCAGCTGATGGGAAGACCCATTGAACAGCTCACAGATGGTGAGATGTTCCTGCCTCTTCAATGAGCCCAAGTGTCATAGAGTTGCAGATGAATCCTAAAGGTGGGGGAGAAATCTCCTGATTGCTTGGCAGTGTTTCCTCATATGGTGGCTCCCACCACCCCTGCTCAGCTATAATGCAGCTGGGAAGTTTGGGGAGATGTTTACAAGGCTCCTGGGAGAGGAGCAGTCTGGTTAGACCTGGGCAGGAGTCCCCATTCCCACACAGGCAGCTGCAGGAAATTTTTGATTCTTGTTCAGGCTGTGCATCCCTTGTGACACCCAACATCTGGGAACCACTGGAGGCTGAACTCACAGGAGCGCCAAATCTCCAACTCGCATGGGCAAACCCAGCTGCTAGTCACTGCCCAAGACTATAAGGGAGAAAGCTCATGTCAAGTCTTTTTGCCCTTTATAACCCACATAATCTTTATTCATTTTTTCTCTTTCAAAGAAAATGCAAAGTTGTTTATACAAATCTCTTTAAAGAGGCCCATTCTGTACAGGAAATGGAAGGCCTGGTGTTTTGGTTTTTAATACAAACTGACTTAGCTTTGTCCTTTCCTAATTTCTTGTTGGGCTTTGGGGCAACTGCAGTTACACAAGACCTTGAAGGATTGCTTTATCTCCCATCAGAAGAAGGATGAGTAAGTGTTGAAGAGGTGTAGTGTTAAAGGGATTATATACTGGGAACGAACCAAGTGTGTGCACTACCGGCTTGTAGTGTGCCTCTGCTCATACATGCTGTTCTTCCCCGTTCTCAGGTTGGGGGTGGGAGTGCATCACGGTAACCACTTGCTCTTCAAAAATCTTTTAGTTAGCTGTTCAGCATACTCAGAAATCTCCCTGCTGAAGGCAGAAGCAGAAAGGACAACTAATATTAGTACTATTAGGGGTCTAAAGCTTTTAATGCAAAAAAGCTTTCAACTCTTTCTGTTGCTGCCTAGTAACTAATTCATTCTGCAGTCCTTATGCTACATCTTTTCCTCTTGGCACTGAAGTTGGGAGCAGCTTATACTCTGTTGCTAAAGCTTTCCCCTCAGTAACTGAATAAGGATAAGGAAGAGAATTGTGGCTACTCAAAATCAGGAGCTGCAATCCTTGCAAAAGAACCACAGTGTTAAACACCTTGTCAGGATGCTAATTCCCATGGCATTTGTGTGCAATTACCTGTTGGCTGCATCTGCAGTAATATGAGCTGGAAATGATTTTGTCAGTTACTGCTGGCAAGAGGATACAAAATAGATTTTAAGTTATCTAAAATATTAGCATCTCTGGATTTAAAGAATAAATACATTGTAATGAGATCTGCCGGGGCTACAGTCAGTCTTACTTTTTTTTTTTCCTCTCCTTCTAAAATTCAGTGGCAAGTGAATATAAAAGGTAGCCAGACTGCATATGCTGAGAAATTTTGGAGCTGTATAATGAGCATTTCTAGACTAGTAATTAACATGCCTGCTAACTTGGAGAAAAGGAAATTACTGATAGAAGGGAGGAATCAATTTTAGATTGAGGTCTTTAATTAGAAAAGAGTTGCTGGTCAGTAGAAGGTGGTTAATCCAGATCTGTGGGGAGTGGTTGAGTTTGCACTCATTAGAGTCAGGGCTCAAGGATTTTATCAGTGTTAGGTCTCTGAAGAAAGCTGGATTTTTTTTTTTTTTTTCCCCTACATTTACATGTAGTTCTCCAGGCCCATTGGGCTGAAAATAATCTCTATGGGTTTCTGAGCTGGGAAAGTTATTTTCATTGCTGTAGTCCATGTAGTACTCATGGCTCACTGTTTTTGAGGGGTCTGTGATTCTCAAGGTGGGCAGATTACACACTTTGAAGATTCCCTTTTCTGAACTGAAAACCATGCACAGTGCAAGGAAGGTCTTTGTGCTCAAAGCATGTGTTGAAGAACCACTTGCCATAACACACTGCCTTGTACGTGGCAGTGGTCAGATAAGCTGCTAGGATAAGCTTTTAACTGGCTTCTGCTCATGAGCCACCTCTTGCTGTGTTTCCCCATGCTGGGAATCTGGAGACCGAAGGTGACTAATGTTTCTCTCTTCTGCTTCTTATTCCTCCCACCCATAGCACTGATGCAGGCGATAGCCCTGTGGGCACAACAGCCACTACAAACCTGGAGCAGCCGCAGGTCATTCCATCGCAGGGTGACCTTCTGGGTGACCTTCTCAACCTGGACCTGGGACCCCCAGTGAATGTTCCTCAAGTCTCCTCCATGCAGATGGGTGCTGTGGACCTCCTGGGAGGAGGGCTGGACAGCTTGGTAAGCAGCATCCTCTTTAGCTTCATCTGATGTGAAATAATTGGAGCTGTGCTTATCTCTGCAAAGCCTTGATCATTTGTGCTTGTAATGCTTGGATCACTGAGCTCCCAGTGCTGAGTCCTAAAACTCCAAGAGGATTTAACCAGTGCTATTGTACCAACTTTCAGCAGGTTTTTCCTGCTATAAAATGAATGTTGCTGCATGCTGTAGAATCCCTATGGTCAGCGGATATATTTGTTACATGCTTTTTCTGTCTGTAGAAGAAAACCAAAAAGTTGGTTTAAGGATGTAAAGTGTCCCACTGCTTTGTAATTGATTCAGGCTCCCTTTCAAGAAGGCGTTTGTTCCACCCGCTTCCCAACCCTACTGAATTTCAGTGCAAAACTCTTCAGGGCTGCAGTCCATAGCCCCGTGTCATCCCATTTGTATATTCTCCAGATTATGTCATGGTTTAATATCGGTGACATTTTAATTGCAGTTAGGTCAAGAGGGAAGCAGTCTGTGTAGTCCTCCCCATGCTGCAGCTGCTCATGAGGAGGTATTCTAGTACTAACAGGGTCAAGCTCCAGAGTATGAGTAATTACACATTGCTTCTGCTCTGGGGTGCGAGCTGGGCATGAGCTGCAATGAGAGAAGCGCTTAGCAAGGAGACCGCAGCAGTGGAGAGGAGCTCAGTGCTGTGGTCTTACGCTGGTGGCAGCCAGGATTGAGAAGTGGTGAATGTAATCGTCAGCCTGGGAGTTCTTCCCATCCGGTGGAGTACAGCACACAGATCCATAACACCCTGGTGACTTGCCTACAGGGGTAAGAAGCAGTCTAGGTATATTTGCACCACATAACCTGAGTAAGACTACCCCAGAGAACATAGCTGGGTGTTTTTCAGACCTACAGTGGATTTGTCTTGCTTTGGTTTGAGGTTTGGCTTGTAGTGAGCTGGATTGGGTTATCTGTGTGCCTGGTTTAGGTGCGGTTTCAGTTCTGAGTCAAGCTCTGAATAATAGAGGTAGGAGGCAGCTGGATGAACCCCAATCCTTACTTGTCACAATCTCATTAAAGCAGACATTAAACACGTTTCCAGTTCCAGTGCTTTGTGAGCTAATGAACTGGAAACAACCTAACCCCTAATGGCATTGGTGTTCACAGAGGTCAGATGTGCTTTAGCCTCTGTGCCATCTAAACAGCAGTTTGCTTATTTAGCAAGGAGACTGCTTTTACGCTGGGGAGATAGGGAAATGGTTTAAGCTGGAGCTCCTGCGAAAGCAGACAGTGAGCCCAGAGCAGTGACTTTTGCAGCCTTTGCTCTGCATTGCATGACATGCCACTAAGAAACTGGGACTTTTAATTATGTTAAGGCATTGCAGAAAATGCTGCTATCTGTGGTGGCTCAAAATGGCTAGGAGTTAAATTTCTCTGCCTATACTGTCTTCCAGGCCACTTATAGTAACCCTTTGTTTCTCATTAGTGTCAGAGACAGATAAATGGACACAGCAGGAGGACTAAAGCTTGGTTTTGGGAAAAAGAGTTGTCTCACAGTTGGCATTAATGGGCTTAATTTAGTGACCCGCTTTGGCAGTAGAGCTGTTAGTTGATACGGTACTAGGCTTTTACTTAATATTTTTCTCAAGCCTTAAGTAAATCTATGGGGCTGTGGAGTATGATCTAATAAAGTGATCATGTCTGGACGGGGAGTAGCTGTGCCTTGGGCTGTGTGGGCCAGCAGTGTCTCAGCTGAGTTACTAGATGGGGTGAGCGCTAAAAAAAATCTGGTGAATTTTTTTTTTCCTCCCCCGGAATGCTTTCTGTTGAAGTGCTGTTGCGTCAAATGTCCTGTCTTCTGATCCCTTGCATGTATAAGTGAATCTTTTCCTGATAAAACTCTTTCTCAGGCTTTTCCTTCCCTAATAAGCCTAACTGGTGTGTGAATGAATGTGATCTGTGTCTTTTGTTTATTGTTGTGCGCATGTATTTAACAAGTATCAAGCTGAGTTAACCCTAACCTGGTATTAGCTAAATTGCTAGGCAATGTGTCTTGGCTGCATGGCTAGCCAAGGGGATTGGTGTTTGGATCCTAGGCTAATATTAAGCCACACTTGTGTGGTGCCAAAAACACAACCTCAAACTGCAGGTACGC